ATTCCTGCCCCAAAATAGCCCAAAATACAGTAAATATAGCATCCTACAGTCATTCTGAGCCACTTATTAAGGAAGTTTCTGGAGGAGAGATGGAGTATCTATTATGCAAGCAGGAGATAAACTTAGAATGAGAAACAATTCACAAATCTCCCTTATATATAACAGCCGAATGGTGGTGGCACTTCTCTAGAGCATTCCACACGCTCCGGAATTGGTTGGCGCCCTAGTGTGTCACTCAGAATCTGTCCCTATCCACTGGCTGCATTGCTTGAGTCTCGCCTCCAACAGTCTAATCAGTTTGCTGTTTCCCTCCCCCCCCCATAGCCAGTCAGAACACAGAGGTCATTTGCATATGCAGCCTCCTTGGCCTTTGTCTCGGAACACAGAGGTAGTTTGCATATGCGACTTGATTGACTTTTGCCTCTAACATTCTAAACAATTTGCTGTTCTGGGGTAAAATGTGTCCAATCTCCAGGTGAGGGCTGGAGATCACTCAGAATTACAACTGCTTTCCAGATGGCCGAGATCAGTTTCCCTGGAGAAAATGGTGGGCTCTGTATCCTTATATGCTGCTGAGGTGGCCCCCGTATGACAGCCAATGCAACGTAGCAGTCAGGGCTTCAGAGCTCGGGAGAGGCTGCAGGTGTGTGTGGGGTGGAAAGCTGAAGAGTGAGGGGGAAATAAAAGTAGGTTGATAATTGGCTGGGAAGAAGATAGGGTTGCCAACTCCAGGTGGGAAATTCCTGGAGATGTGAGGGATGGAGCCTGGAGAGGGTGAGGTTTCAGGAGGCATAGGACCTCGGACAGGTACAAAGCCATAGACTCCACCCTCCAAACCAACCATTCCCTTCTGGGGAACCATTGTTGTCAATCTCCAGGTGAAGGCTGTGGATCACTCAAAATTACAACTTTTCTTTAGGTAGCAGAGATCAATTCCTCTGGAGAAAATGGTAGTGTCATTATACTCTGCTGAGGTTGCCACAGCAAATTGACACTGAGTGTCCAAGGCCGGGACACCCGCCCAGAGCCTCTTTCTATATCTCGTTGTATTTATTTCCACAATGGACCTTTTTCCTAGTGGTCTATAAATGTATTGTAAGTAATATAAATGTAGTTTAATGTAGAAAAAGAACAAGTTTTGAATATCAATTCGTTCACATTTTGATATATTAAAAGTTATAGCAAGTATGTTGTATTGATGAAATATGCAATATAGAATACTAGGGAAAAGGCCCGTTATGGAAATAAATACAACGGCCTCTAGAAAGAGGCTCTGGGGGGGAGAGGATTAGCAAAATGTTTAGAATGTTGGAGGCAGGACTCAGGCAAAGCAGCCAGTGTATAGGGAGACCCTCTGAATGACAGATCAGAGAGCGAACTGATTTTGGAGCGTGTGGAATGTTCTAGAGAAGTGCCACCACCATTCAGCTTTTATTTATAAGGGGGATGTATTAATGATTAAGCTGTTGTAGAAAATACCTTAAAAACTCTAATGAAGGGGATGTTGGGGAGAAGTAACTCTTTACCTCTTTCTTTAATATATCCTGTATAAATATAATTTGTTTCATAATCCGTATATAATCCCTTTCTTCCCTTCTGTACCCCTTTTGTTCTTTTGTTTTTAAAATTAAAAAATTACAAAAAAAGAAGCTTCTGGTGCAGTTTTTACTTTGGTATGTAATCAAATTTCAGCTCCATTTCTTCTCACAATTTCCTTGGTTGTGTTGACCACAGCATCTTTTTTTAAACCTTTTTTTATTGCTTTTCTAAAACTACAGTACTACAGGGTTGGGGGATGGGAACAGCCTAAAACTAGAGTACCAAGGATCATTATTACAAAAATTTGAACTTATTGATACATCTCTTTTGTCAGAATAGTAAAAAGCAGACAATCACAAACTTATTTGGCTGTAGTTGTATATCTTAGTTTTAAAGTTATACGTTGACAATAAACGCTATAGTGTAAATATCATTAGTTTGGAGTTATGTGTTAAGAATAAACATCAGGCTATCGAAATTAAGCTATTTTGCATTTTCCTGTACTCCTGTCAAAGTCCAAATTAGTTTTTTAATGCTTTAGGGGTAGCAACCCCTAGCTCTGCTTCAAAATCAAAGGGTTTTGCCAGACTGATCGAATTGATATCAGAGTCTTTCCCATCCTTCTCTCTCTTCTTCTTCTGCGTCTTTATTCTCCTCCACTTTCTCAGGTTCCTCTTCCATTTTCTGTTGTTGCTTCAGGAACATCCGCTTTATTTCTTTTTCGCTGAAATTTTTGAGTTCCTTTTGCAATGTATACAGCTTGTTGCTAAAGTGGTCATCTGGTCCAGTAGAGGGTGTGAAGCTGCAGCAATCGGTTTGGGAAAGTCTATGGTCGCTTCTGGTTTGGTAGCCAGCGATGATGTGCTGGCCGTTCCTGTGATAAGTTTCGATTTCGACACCATTTATTCTGCTCACTGTGTCATTATTTACACAAGAGGAAAGTTTAAAAGTTCTCCGTAAGTCTGATGATTTATTGCTTTTTTGCTGGTTCACCGCACACTCCATTGTAATCTGCTTCTTTCAAGCCGCCCTTACTGCCTCCTGCTTTAAATTCGTTCTTTTCGGGATTGGGCATTCCCCTCCCCCTTCCACTTGTTTGGGGCATTGGGGTGGCTTTGCTGCTAGCGTTTTATTGATTGTTTGCTGGGTCATAGCTTCACTCATGTTTGTACTTGCATTCATTGAGAGAAGATAGTTCCTTAGGATCCTTGTGTGCTCTGTCCGGTGTGTGCCTCTTGGTGCCATACTGGCTCCGTGCTGTGGGGGCCTTTGGGGCAAAAAGGTGCCTCAAACCTTTAGCTTCCGCCTTGGGAGAGGCACCTCTCATGCCCCAGGCTGCGCCCCCCTCCAGGGGGCCTGGAGGGTCTAAGATCAACTTGGACCCCAACCACAGCATCTTTTTTCATTGACTTGGTGACCCAAAGATTTCCTGAAGCCAAGTCAGTAACTGAATATCAAAGTACCAAATTGATATACTAAATAAAACTGCTTCTTTCCTGCATATTTTTCTCTGTTTTGTCTTCTGTTAATGTCAAGACATTACATATATATCTAGTCATCATTATCTTTTTATCTCATTTCTTTTGCAGGAGGGATATTTGAAACTGTCGAAAATGAGCCTGTTAACGTTGAAGAATTAGCTTTCAAGTTTGCAGTTACCAATATTAACAGAAACAGAACACTGATGCCTAATACCACATTAACTTATGATGTCCAGAGAATTAACCTTTTTGATAGTTTTGAAGCCTCAAGACGAGGTAATTATCTTGATATTTTAATAATGGTTTTTAGTTGTGCCAGTTATATGCAAAGTTTCTTTTTTCACCAACAATTATCTTAGTACAGTACAACAACTTAGTACAGTACAACACATGGGGTCATGTCAGACACTAGGGTTCCCAAATCCCCCCGGGGGGTGGATTTCCCCCCGCTTTCAAGGCCCGACTTCCGCCCCACGCAGAATCGGGCCCGGGGGAAACCCCACCCCCGCGTGCGCGTCACCCGGAAGTGACGTCGCACGCTGGGGGCGGGGCCATGCCATTTGAGGGAAAAACAAAGAGTTTTCCCCTCAAATGGCGTGGCCCCGCCCTCAGCATGTGATGTCACTTACGGGTGATGCGCACGCGGCGCGCACGCGTGCTACGCGCGCATGCACGAATTAGACGCCGGCCGGGAGCCCCCCGCTCCAGGCCAAAATGCATTTGGCAACCCTATCAGACACATTAGGGTTTTTCCCCATTGTTATCTGGGAAAAGAAAGTATATTTCTTCAGCCATATGCCATGCTTTTAGAGTATAACAGTCTCAAACAACTCAAGTGTTGGTTTTGGTTAAGATCTGAAATGGCTGTAATTGCCTGCAGTATTGAAATATCTGTGGAGCAAAGTGATCTGATCTTCTTTTTCTAATATTTATCTGGTGTTACTAATTGAAACAGAAAATCAAATGTTTTCTCTCTTGTGAGCATCCTCTCCCTTGGATGAGAAGTTTGGTATTGCAAGGTTTAATTTGCAAGCTTTCTTAAATGGCTGCACTTATTGATGTATACCACAAGATACTATCAATATTTTAATAAGATAGACTGGTTATTAGCGGTACATTTACTTTGCCCACAACATCAAGTGTGTTCTTGCAAGGTATTTTTAATTAACCCCTTTTGTCCATAGAGGAGTATTGACTTTTTAAAAATTGCAATGCAGTTCACAATTACGTGTGTGGAAGTCCCACTGCAATCAGTACAGCCTGTAAAAGCACGGCCTTAGAAGCAGAAACCTTTCAAGGTCACTTTCCTAAACAATAAATTTAAATGCAAAAGAAGCAGAATGCTAAAATATATTTTTCTTGTATTTTTAGAGAAAGGGGATTCTAAGTCATACTTATATGAGTAGCAACAGTTTGGCAGACTACTTAACATTTCGTAGCTCGTAAATTTGTTGTATGCTCAGAAACTCAGACATTATAGTTCATAATTTAGTTAAGAAATTTGCAAAGCAAATCCTAAGGAATTTTTAGCAGTTTATATTACCCACATCACATATGGTTTCACAAAATTACTTATAATGTTTTTATCTCAAATTTATTTCATTGATATGATATATACCAAAAAGGCCTCCAAGAGGTTAATGACTGGATATACTTAAGAAAAATCTCAGTCCCAAGTATGCTTTTTTATGAAGCAAAACGTCTGAACTGCACGTAGATTAGATAGTAGGTTGACATGCATTGTTTCTCCAGAGAAAGATAAATGGATTATATCTAACATGACAACACTGAACAAGTTTATAAATATCTTTGAACAATAATCTTTTGAAGATTAATATGTTATGATTACAAAGCTGTATGTAACATTTGTCCTTACCATTGCCCTACCCACTGTTACAAATTTACAATGTAATCTTATCACAATGATTTAGTTTCTGCCTATGTCATAATGTAAAGTGCCAAGTAAACTGATAGCAGTAAGTAATTAGTGAAATGTTAAATAATTCATAATGCATATTATAAACATAGGAGGATGGAGAGATCATACTAGCAAATATATTTCATGACTATAGTTGCCAACCTCCAGGTGGTACCTGGAGATTTCCTAGAATTACAACTGATCTCTATAGAGATCAGTTCCACTAGAGAAAATGGCAACTTTGGAGGTTCTCCTCCTCAAACCCAGCCCTCCCCAAGCGTCACTCCTAAATCTTCAGGAATTTCCCAACCTGGTGACGACAACCTAGTTGATGACCATTCTGTACTAGATGCTAATCAAACCCTGCTAGGCTTGTCATCTCTTAGGTAGGCTCCTATTGTTGACTTGAGGTGGTAATACAAACTATCTGTGATAACTAATTTTCTTTACTATCTTTTTTTCTTGACTCACTTGCCATGGTAATAGAATGAAGTTAGAGTCCAGTGGGGCACCTTTAAGACCAACAAGGTTTTATTCAAGGTGTGAGCTTTCGTGTGCACACACACTTTGTCAGACAATGAAATGGAATTACAGAGCGTACTTGTATGTATACAGGATGGCTTGTTAAATTAGCATGCAAAATACTGAAGATGTTTTTTAACAGATAAAAAGAATGAGAAGCTTTGTTTCTAGTTATCATCTGTTTGGGTTCAACTGGGGGGGGGGAATATGTCAGAACCAGAAATCAAGTTTGTCATTCTTTTTATTTGTTAAAAACATCTTCACTATTTTGCATGCTAATTTAACAAGCCATCCTGTATATATACACAAGTATGATCTGTAATTCCATTCCATTGTCTGACAAAGTGTGTGTGCACACGAAAGCTCACACCTTGAATAAAACCTTGTTGGTCTTAAAGGTGCCCCGCTGGACTTCGGACCAACATGGCTGCCCGACTTGATCTTGCCATGGTAATGTACTCCAACAAATAATGTAATTTTGAATTCAAATGACTGAATGTATGCATGGCTAAAGAAATGTTCTCTTGCATTGTAACTTTTAGTCTAGGTATAGCCTGCAAATTTCTAGTTCTGTGTTTGCTTTCATCAGGTATCTCAGTGCACCTTGTAATACACTGTGTCACTGTGAATGATAGTACCCTTTACCATGTATGAGTGTTTGACTTAAAATTAACAAACGGTAGCACCCTTAGATAGCAATTTAGCAGTTAGCTTGGAAATCCTCACAGGGCCTACTGCAACTAAATTTATATATTTATGGTTGCATCAACAGTAATCCATGACACTTTCAGTTGGAGGCTACGTTGATAGAATAGCTCTGGGCTTCAGTTCTGTTTAAGGGTAATGAAGTGAAACCACTGCATTGGATTTTGTGACAGGCTGCTCCCCTCTCATCTGCTTAGCTTGAAAACATTGATGTTCTGGTGGTTTTTAGATGTGGGTCTCATCTTTTCTCAAGTGTATACTAATTATTTTCACAAATTCAGTCATTTGCTTTGCTTTATGTGTTAGGAAACAGTAGAAATAAAAATGCTAACTGGACATCATGGTTCTTTTTATTCCATCTTTCATAGCGTGTGATCAGCTTGCTCTTGGGGTAGCTGCACTGTTTGGACCATCCCATAGCTCATCAGTCAGTGCAGTACAATCAATTTGCAATGCACTTGAAGTTCCACATATACAGACCCGGTGGAAACATCCTACAGTGGATAACAAAGATTCATTTTATATCAACCTCTATCCAGACTACGCAGCCATCAGCAAGGCAGTTTTGGATTTGGTGCTATATTACAACTGGAAGATAGTAACAGTTGTATATGAAGACAGTACAGGTATGCCTCATCAGTCATTTTCAAACTTTTGGTTATGATTAATGGCTCTTATGGGTAATACTAAAAATTATCACATATAGTAGCTTTCCTAGTTCAATTAATCTTATAACACTGGATGCATGAAGCTGCTTTAATCAGACCAGTGGGCTGTTGAGGTCAGTGTTGTCTACAAAGACTGGCAGCATCTCTGTGGATTTTCAGGCAGAGGTCTTTCACATCACCTGCTACCTGACCCATTTAACTGGAGATACCAGAAATTGAACCTGCGGCCATCTGCATGCCAAGCAAATGCTCTGCCACTGAGTCATGTGCTTGCCTATTGTGGTAACTTGCATTAACTCTGTGGTAACTTTCATTCCCTAGCATTAATGAGAATTCAGAGTGGAAATTAATATATTACTTTATGTTTCATTCTAATGCCTGAAAAGAATAGAAACCTAGGGCAAAGTGACTCCCTATGAATCATGAGCATACAGTATTTGCAGCGGCAGATCTTTTTGTTCACTCTTCGTTTATCCCAGAATTTTAAACAGCCTACTGTGCCATAAAAAATTAAAAATGGTTCTGTGTATAGTGCCCCATGCACAGTTAGCTTTCATTTGCTGTTTCATTTGAGATTTTTGTATTCCAGTTTGAAAAAAGGAGGAAGACACTTCTGAGTTCACCACACTTTGTAGTCTTTCTAGTTTCTATACCTTGTGGTTCAGATGGCTTTTTAAAACTCCACATTCGATGCAGCAGAGCATATTTTAGAACAGGCATTAAAATATGTCTCCCACTTAGCACTTTATTATCTAAAGAATGTTTTAAATTCTTAGAAGTGTTGCCTACTTGTTAAGAAATGGTTGATACAGGACACAAATTCAGAGTTACTTATTGAGTGTGACTGCATAATCAGATGTGAGATTAAATTAGAGTAGGAAGAGTAGAGTGAACTTCTTGTGAGCCTTTTGAGTGGAAATAACACCAGTTATCTCAGATGGTTTTTGTCAGCGTATTACATAATAATAAAAACGTAAAGAACTTGTAAAAAATTGTCAGTTTTTTTTTAAAAAGCATTAAGTGTAGGGATGGGCACGAACTGGGAAAATGCAGTTCAATTTGGTTCGTGGTTCATGGTGTGAGCAGTTCATGAACCATGGACCGTCAGGAACTTTTTGGTGCTAGATGAACCCGTTTGGATCATGACGTTTCTGATGTGGTAGAATGTCCCACCAACATGCTAGCAACACTGAACGTAGGGAATCTCCAGCTGATTCTCCTCTATTTGCCCTCCAAGTATGGTAAGGATTGGATTTACAAGGTCTGAGTTACAGGCCTCCACAGAAGATGCCCCCAAGACAGTGCTTTCTGGGGAAATGAGGTTCGGGTTCAGGAGATTCAAGAGTGTATAGAATGGATCCTGTGCAAACTAGAGACACCAAACGTGCAGTGGATCTCTGGCTGACTCTCGTCTGCCTACCTTACATGTTTGGTGAGAATTGGAGTTCTGAGTTCCAAGTTACAGCCCCCAAAGAAAGTGCCCCATCCTCCATTGTTTACAATGGACTAAGGTTAACAAGAGAACCTCTCAGTAGAAACTGAAGGTGGTGGACATTTTCATAAGCCCAGCAGAACCAGTGCAATATGATCATCTATCTATCTATCTATCTATCTATCTATCTATCTATCTATCATCTATCTATCTATCTATCTATCTATCTATCTATCTATCTATCATCTATCTATCTATCTATCTATCTATCTATCTATCTATCTATCATCTATCTATCTATCTATCTATCTATCTATCTATCTATCTATCATCTATCTATCTATCTATCTATCTATCTATCTATCTATCTATCTATCTGAACTTTTACCCCACCCTCCCAGCCAAAGCCGGCTCAGGGTGGCTTACAAAAACAGATAATTACATTAAAAGCATAAGTTAAGATTAAAACAATTCTATAACCATGATAAAGTGCTAGTGATCATTGTTATCCATAAATGGTAGCAGCCATCATTCACAGTTCTCAGCTCACTGTCATCTCACAGTATTCGTTTTGGTTGTTCCTGCAGTACTTGTTCTTTAGGATTTTGATGGCAGTTTCTGGAATCCAGGGCCCTCTCCCATTCAACCATCCGATGTTCTTGATTGGTGGTGGTGGCAGCTCCCAAAAGCCTCGTGGAAGAGCTCCATTTTACAGGCCCTGCAGAACTGTAAAAAGTCCCGCAGTGCCCTGATCCCGCAGTGCCCGCAGGAGCTCATTCCACCAGGTTGGGGCCGTCACCGAGAAAGTCCTGGTCGTCGACAGCCTAGCCTCCTTAAGACAGTGCCACTGTGGCAGTGCAAACCCACCAGGACTAAGGTCAATCTAGGAAGGTACTTTCGGGGGAAATGTCAGGCACAGGTTCAAAGGTGTATAACAGGGGTCCTCAAACTTTTAAAACAGGGGGCCAGTTCACTGTCCCTCAGACCGTTGGAGGGCCGGACTATAGTTTTTTAAAAAAACCTATGAACAAATTCCGAGCAGGGCTCTTCCAGACAGCCCTCGCCCGCGCAGCCCTCCCAGGAGCCCTTGGTGGAATCCACAGAGGAGACCCTCAATTGCAGGATAAACACCCGGCCGGCTGGATAAATGTTTTCAGCGGGCCGCATGTGGCCCCCGGGCCATAGTTTGAGGACCCCTGGTGTATAGGATGGACCCCTGCCCCCCTGCAAGCTACACACACCAGACTCACAGGGAACCTCACCCCGCCACCCACTTCTCTAAAATCTCTGTTGGGGGTGGATTACATTTCTGGGGTCCCAGTTACAGACACCCCCCAAAAAAGGTCTCCCCCGTGCTCTCTCTGGAAAAGACAGCTTAACTTACAGGAGTCTATGGAACGGCTCAGGAACAAGTCAGTGACACTAAACTCACAGGAAAACTTCACCTTGGCAGACCCCCCACAGCCACACACTGGAAGCAAGACAAGAATCCCTCCCTATGCTTGCAGCCCCCCCCCCAGTCTCAAAAGGCAAGTTCTGAAGGACAGAAAGGAAGACATGACAAGACTTCAAACATGGGCTCCCCAAAGTTATCACATGACAGCTTGGTGGGCACCCCAGTCCCATCAGGCTAGTGGAAATCAGAATTTTCCATTTAAAATTATCATGAGGTAGGTGTTGTATTATGAGGTAGATGTTTCATGGGGTAGGTGTTCACTGAGGGAGTCCACCCCCACCTGGCAGAGATGGCCATCCTCCCACCCAAGCGCCAAGAGCACAACCCACAGACCAGATCACCCAGAGAGGGGTAGGAGGAATGGGGGGGGGACACGGCAGGGGGACAACTGGACGCCTGGATCTGGAGGGAATGCTTATTGAATTTGCAGATTATGGGGGTGTGTGTAGTAAATATGGTAGAAGACAGATTCAGGATACAGGATGATCTTGACAGACTGAAAAACTGGGCTAAAACAAATAAAATGAATTTCAATGGGGATAAATGTAAAGTTCTGCATTTAGGTAGGAAAATGGGAGAGACTTGTCTTGGCAGTAGTATATGCAAAAAGGATCTAGGGGTCTTAGTAGACCATACACTGAACATGAGTCAGCAGTGTAATGTGGTAGCTAAAAAGGTAAATGTGATTTTGGGCTGAATCAACAGAAGTATAGTGTCCAGATCTCGCGAAGTGATGGTATTGCTTTTGCTCTGGTTAGACCTCACCTAGAGTATTGTGTTCAGTTTTGGGCATCACAATTTAAGAAGGATATAGACAAGCTGGAACATGCCCAGAGGAGGGCAACAAAGATGGTGAGTGGGTCTGGAGACCAAGTCCTATGAGGAAAGGTTGAAGGGGCTAGGTATGTTTAGCCTGGAGAGGAGATGACTGAGAGGTGATATGATAACTATCTTCAAGTACTTGAAGGGTTGTCATAAAGCAGATAGTACAGAGTTGTTTTCTGTTGCCCCAGAAGGTTGGAGCAGAACCAACGGGTTGAAATTAAATTAGAAGAGTTTTTGGCTAAACATTAGGAAGACCTTCCTAACATTTAGAGCAGTTCCTCAGTGAAACAGGCTTCCTCGGGAGGTAGTGAGCTCTCCTTCTTTGGAGGTTTTCAAACGGAGGCTAGAATCTGACAGCAATGGTGATTCTGTGAACTTAGGCAGATCATGAAAGGGAGAGGAAGGGTTGCATCAGTGCTTAGTTCTTGTGGTCCTTTTTTACACACCCAGGGAAATGCTGATCGCCAATTGTGGACAGGAAGCAATTTTTCTCCAGGCCAGTTTGGCTGGAGATCCTGGAGTTTGGGGGTTTTGTCATCTTCTGGATGTGGAACAGTGGTCACTGGAGGTGTGTACAGGGGTATTTGTGAATTTTCTGTATTGAGCAGGGGATTGGACTAGATGACCCTGGAGGTCCCTTCCAGCTATATGATTCTATGATTCTTTCTTATGCTATAAGGTCCAGAGAGGGGTAGCCCAGCCAGGGGAGTTGATCTTGTGGAAGGCTAACTTGTCCATTGTGGCCAGGTCCAGGTAGGAGTGGTAGGGCCTGAGAATGTCTCTCTGGAAACTGGTGGGAGGTAGGAGAGGAGACTTGTGACTAGGGATCGGCATGAAGAACCATATTACAAACCAAAATTCATGATGAACAGAGCCCAGTTCATGGTTCGCAAACTGAGGTTCATGCCATCCCACCACCACCGACCTTCCATGTACTCCCAGATGGCTTTGGGGAGTTCATGTGGTTCATGTCAGCAGACATGCTGGCAGTGAGTGATGGTGAAGGAGTACCTCACCAAGTCCCATGAGCCTGCCTCCACTGAGTACTGGTCATGCAAGGCTACCATCTGGCCTGCCCCTCTCTTGCGTGGTCACAAGTAGGGATGGACATAAACTGGAAAAATCGAGGTTCATGGTTCATGGGATCTCACAAACCACAAGCCTTTAACAAACTGGTTCGTGATGTGGCATGACTTGCAAAAGCCATGGCAACACAACTCACAAGTGAACTCAGAAGGCATTTAA